TGCCACTGTGCCCACCGTCCATCTTCAGGGCTTTGCCATCATCCTGATCTGAAACTCTGTCCCCATTAAGCACCACTGCCCCGTTCCGCAGTCACCCCAGCCCCCGGCACCCCATCCTGCTCCCGGTGTCTGAATCCGGCTCCCCTGGTCCTTCCTACACGAGGGACCGGGCAGTACCTGTCCCTCCGGGACCAGCTTATTTCACTCGACGTCACGTCTGCAAGGTTCACCCAGGTAGCAGGTGCCTGCTCTTCTTTCAGTTCGTGGTGAAGAACACCCCACCGAGTGGATGGACCACAGTTTGTTTATCCGGCCACCTGTCCTTGGACCCCTGGGTTGCTTTTACCTTTTAGCTGTTGTGAATAATGCTACAAAGATCATCTGAATTCCCTTTACCCTTTTTTAAGGTATATTCTTAGGAGTGGAATTTCAGGGGCTTATGGTGAGTGCCCAAGTGTTCCCACAGAGGTGCTCCCCGCTATATCTATATTCCCACGGGCAAATGTTTGAGGGTTCCAATCTCTCCACATGCTCACCAACACTGGTTCTTTTTCTTCCTTTTTAAATTACAGCCCTCCTAGTGGGTCTGAAATAGTATTGTGGTTGTGGTTTGCATTTCCCCGATGACTAATAACGTGGAGCATTTTTTCGTGTGTGTTGACCATCTGTACAATTTTGTTAGGGAAGTGTCCGTTCACGTCCTTTGCCCGCTGTTAAATCAGCTTGCTGGTCTTTTTGGTGCTGAGTTGTATGAGTTCTTTATATATTCTGGATATTAAACTCTTATCAGATACACGATTTGCAAATATTTTCTCCCATTCTGTAGATTGTCTTGTCACTTTCTTGGTGGTGCCTTTTGAGTCACTGAAGTTTTGAATTTTGGTGAAGTCCAACTTATGTTTTTCTTTTGATCTTCATGCTTTTGGCGTCGTAGCTAAGAATCCATTGTCAAATCCAAGATCACAAAGTGTTTCCCCTGCGTTTTCTTCTAAGACATTTTGGTTTTAGCTCTTATGCTTGGGATGTTTATCCATTTTTTAAAAAAGATTTTATTTATTTATTTGACACACAGAGAGAGATAGTGAGAGAGAGAGAGAGAGAGAGAGAGAGCACAAGCGGGGGAGTGGCAGGCAGGCAGAGGGAGACGGAGAAGCAGACTCTCCGCTGAGCATGAACCCTGATGCGGGGCTCGAACCCAGGACCCTGGGATCATGACCTGAGCTGAAGGTAGCTGCCCAACCGACTGAGCCACCCAGTGGCCTGATGTTTATCCATTTTTAGTTAATTTTTGTATGTTGGGTGAGGTGGGGGGTCCAACTGTGTTATTTTGCATGTAGAAATCCAATTTTTCCAGCCCCATTTGTTGAAAAGATTATTTCTTCCCCCACTGAATAGTCTTGAAACCCTTGTCAAAAATCAACTGGCCATAAGTATATGGGTGTGTCTCTGGACTCTCAACTTTATTCCTTCATTCTATATGTCTGTCCTTGGATGCTGGTTCAATTGCTGTACTTTTGTAGTAAATTTTGAAATTAGCAATTGTGAATCCTCCAACTTTCTTCCTCTTTTCTAAGATTATTCTCTTCTAGGTCCCTATCAATTTGGTGTGATTTTGAGGATCAACTTTTTCATTTCTAGAGAAAAAAGCTTTGGGATTTCGATAAGGATTCCATTGAATCTGCAGGTCACTTTGGGTGGTACTGTCACCTTAACATTGTCTTCCCATCCATGAACATGGGATGTCCTTCCACCTACGCTTGTTTCTTCTGCTCTTGTGGCAGTGTTTTATAGTTATCCCTGTACAAGTCTTTCACCCCTTGGTTAAATTTATTGCTAGGTATTTTATTCTTTTGGATGTGATTTTTGCTGCTTTAAAAAAATGTTGAAAAGCAGATGACTGCACAAAAAAATACATCTCACTTAGTTTTAGAAAAACACCCATGCTTATTTAATATATCTATTACCAATAACATGCTGTCATGTTTACTGCTCGCTTACATGCTGTTTACATACGTTTCTACTCCTCTATTTATTTATAGCATGCTTATGTTTGGAAGCACAAGCTAGATTTCTGTCACTAGGACTTTGTGAGCACTGTTCCTGAAGTTTGTTGCATGCAGTGTTGTTAATGGCAAGCCTGATGCCAGTCTGACATTTATTTTTCCGTAGATGACTTCTGTTTGTTTTGTTCTCTGGGGATGCTTTTGGGAACCCCTTATTATCCCTAATGTTCTGCAATTTCAACAGGATGTGTCTGGGTTTTCCCCATTCATTTTTCTTGCCATTGCTTAGTCTTTTCAACCTGGAGGCTGTGTCTTCCACTGTGGGACGTGTTCCTTCCTGGGGTTGCATTTCCTCGTCCCCCTGTGTCCTTGCTGTGCTCCCTCTGGGGAGCCCACACAGCAGAGGCCACACCCCCCAAGTGGGTCCCTCATGCTGGTTTCTTTTCTCTCATACTTTCTACCTCTTTGACATTTTGTTCTACGTCAGAGGGATTTCTCAACCTCACCTTCAAGCCCCTCTGTTTAATTTTAGATATCAACAACACATTTGATACCTATGATTTTTTGAGGGTAAGTTTTCTGATCGCTCCTTTTCACCACCTCTTGCCTTTGCTTTATGGCTCTAACATCTTCTTGATGTCTGAATATAAGATTTTTACATTTAATTTAACTTTTAATTTCAAAGGTGATTTCTGCTTTGTAAACTGTATGCTTCCTCTGGGGTGTATTTTTATGTTGGTAGTCTCAGGCTTTCTTTCTCAGGCCACTGGCTTTGCTCATGTGCTGGGGTGAGGGTGGGGGGTGGTCCTTGGTGGTCTGGGCTCCTCTTCCACCATGTGACAGTCTGTGTTGAGTTAGAGAAAGCTCACCCATGTGGGGAGGCTGACCTGGCACTCTGGGATTGGGGTGGGGGTCTGCCAGGTGGTGGGCTTCACTTGGGGATAAGAAAGTTGGGAGCCCAGAGGCCAGAATGAGAGTTATGTACCTGGGGGTGCCAACAACTCCCCAGGAGCCTCAGCCCTTCCTGGGTGAAGTGTTCAACTGTCCTAGAGATACACTCTGGTGATGTTCTGGGGAGAGGGGGGACTGCTGGACACTCGGCCTTGGGGCGTGCCTGGCCAAGTGGCCCTGGCTCCTCCCCTCCATTGAGGACACACCCCTCCTCCTCGGGGCCTGCTCATGAGGAGCAGGTGCTGTCCTGCTCCTGGGCCCCTGCCTCGGGGTTGGCAGCCCTCGCCTGTTTCCCATTACGTTTGTGGAGTTCCGCACCCATCCTAAGCTGACTTCTCCCCGACAGTGGGTCCTGGGAGGGCTGATGTGGGAGCGGTGGGCTCAGTCCGCCATCTTGAACGGCAGCGTCCGCTCTCCTGGAGTGCTGGCTTTCCCACAACCACACCCGTACTCTGGGTGTTTGGCCGACCCACAGTCCATCCTTATTCCATTGGAATGCGGAGTACCCAATTCACGTTGAAGATTAGGTTGCCACAGCATGGAGGCTATTGGTTTAATTTCCCATCCAAAGCAGGAATCCCATGTGTGGCTTTTATTTTTCTTTAAAGGAAAATTTTATTTTAAACTACTTAGCTCAACAATTATTTTCAACTATTTTTATTTTCATTTTATTATGAAAAATTTCAAACATACAGAAAAGTTGGAAGAATTAAGCAGGGTGTATCCACATACCCACTCCTTGAGCCCATAGCTAACACTGAGCCTCATTTACGTTCTCAGATACTCGCCCATCAAACCACCCCTCTCTCCATACATCTTAGTTTTTTGGAGCATTTCAAAGTAAGTTACAAACAACAGTACACCTCACTCAAACATTTAGGAAGAATACCATTAACAGGAATTCAATTTTTGCACTTTTGTGTGTGAAGTAATACGAATTCTAGGTGTTTCATTTGATGAATTTTCACAAATGCATTCACCTGAGTAGCCCAAACCCTATCAGGACCCACACCTTGACCATACACCCAACCTACCAGGGCCCCAGACATGACCTGTGCCCACCCTTCTGGCCGTGTACCTAACGACTCTCCCCAGATGTCCTCTTCCACCTAGTCAGTTTCACCCAAATCCTCCAGAAGCAGCCATTGTTCTGATCTTTAAAAAGAGTAAGTTAGTTCAGCTTGTCTTAGAGCCTCACTTAAATGGAATCATGCAGCAGGTGCTCTTCTGCCCGACTCCATCCGCCAACACCATGTTTTTGAGATTCATTCATATTGTTGCAAATGCAGTGCGGTCCTCTTAACTGCTGATTTGTATTCCATTGTATGACTGTCATGGTTTGTTTATCCATCCCTGTTGATAGACATGTGAGTTGATCCAGTTCTGCCTCTTACTAAGAGAGTGGAATGAATGTACCTTCTCTTCAAGCCTTCAGCACCCAGAAGCAGGAATAGCCTCCAGGAGCCCATTATTTTGTAGGGTAGCTCTGACTTTTAGGGAACTCTTTCTTCTTTGAGCAGAAATCTGTGTCCCTGTCACCCTGGCTCCTTGGTGCAACCTTTGGGGCAACACACAATGAACATCTCCCCTTGGGAAGCCCCAAGACACATAACTGCAAGCCGCTGTGGGTCACTTGGGCTGTGTCTCTTCCTCCCATTGTTTGCCCCTCATTGGCAGTTTCCAGGATTCCAAGAACCATGCATGAAGTCCTCATTTGAAACAGGGGGAAGGAATGCCCTATTCAGATCCAAGAGCCTGGATTACCACTTTTCTCAGAGGGGTTCCCCAACATGCTGAGGGGCATGACCATCCCAAGAGAACCACCCTCGGACAGGACTTCTTCTCAGCCTTTGGCTGGTCCAAGGGAGCAGATGACATGGAGAGACAGCTTCAGGGCAAAATCACAGAAAAACACAGCACTGAGGAGCAGAGAGATTTATTTTTAATGGTCACTAAGCTTTCATGGAGAAGAAAACCACCATCACTGATTCAGAAATGAGACATGATAGGAGAGGTCAATAGAGAATTGATATTCTAGGTGATTTGTCAGCAGCAGTCAGGGGTGCTGCAGGGGGCAGGCCTACAGACCATGGTGGGGCAGGAGGGCTGGCAGCCCCCAGAGGACTGGCAGGAGGGAGCCACATACACAATGGGCTTGCAGCTCACGGGCAGGCACACAGCAGGCTTGCCACTCACGGGCAGGCACACAGCAGGCTTGCAGCTCACGGGCAGGCACACAGCAGGCTTGTAGCTCACGGGCACACAGCAGGACGTCTGGCAGGAGCTGGGGGTGCAGCAGGCTGAGCTGCAGGAGGAGGCCTGGCCGCTGGCCACTGGGCAGCACAGGGACAGGTAGCTACAGGCTGACTGGTAGGAAGTGGATGAGCTGCACACAGGCTGGCACAGGAGAGCCACACAGGGGGCACTGCAGGAGCCCCCACAGCCTGGGGGAGGGCAGCAAGTAGGGATGCCATCCAGGGAACCAGGGCAGGACGTCTGGCAGGGGCTGGGGGTGCAGCAGGTCACCTGAAAGGAGCTGGGCATGCAGCAGGACGTCTGGCAGGAGCTGGGCACGCAGAAGGACATCTGGCAGGGGCTGGGCACACAGCAGGACGTCTGGCAGGAGCTGGGCACGCAACAGGACGTCTGGCAGGGGCTGGG